TTAATGATGAAAATTTTATATATATTCTGAAAACTAACATTTAACGTGTTTTTTTTTTTTAGTTTGATAGTGCTTTCAAAGGTGTGTGTTCCTTATTTGATATGGGAGCAATTAAAACAGATAAGGAAAAACCGTTTAATCAAAAACAGATTAACGAAAATATTAAAAATTAAAAAGAAAACTCAGGAATGATACTGGTAAACTTTATCAGCAGTTACTCTCGAGTTTAAAGGATACTTCTATCCAAGGATTAATGTGGCAAAATCCTTTGGCTAGTCAAATTATTAGAGATAATGCCCTGTTTATACAAAATTTAGAAAATAACTCAAAAACGAAAGGCTTATACAAAGCATTTATGGTATAAGTTTATTATTAAGCAAAACAATTCCTATAAATTATTTCTAATATTTTTTGTTATAGTCTTTATTTTAGAAACCGGTCAGACAAATGAAACCCGTGCTTCCATTAAGTGTTAAAAATAAGTATAACAAATTTTTATCAAGTTTTTCTAATCATAATTATAGTGGATTTCTAGAAAAGTTGGTTCATGATCAGACATGAAAAGAATCTGAAGAGAAAATTTTATCTGTCGTAAACAAAATTTTTAATACTATGAAAGATGTTTGGAATAATTTAGCTCTTAACTTCGAAGTAGCTGGAACGTTAAATGAGGGAACTTATCAATCTACCGTCATTGTACCATTTATTCAAGCTGTACTAAAAGATCTTCTCTTTAGATCTTTATTTATTAGCATATCAGAAAGAGAAAGTGCTGCTAGTGCAGATAGAAAAGGAAATGGTCAAGCGGGAAGATGTCTAGATGTCATGTTTATGGTAAAACATTTGGATATGCTCTTCGAAATTATGTATGTCGAATGCTCGAGATTGGTTTGTACACCTCAAAAAATGATAGATGATGATGTTAAGTTATGGAGAGAATATAACGATGGTATGTATTATATATGAAAAACTCTTAATCCTGAAAAAGAGCAATTTGGAATTGTTGAGATACAAGTAGCAGGAGATACTTTACATCTAAACGTTCTTATCAGGGATCAAACGAATGTTAATAGATATTATAATATAGAATCAGCAAAAATCCCTGTGCAAAAATCAGAAGAGACCGCTGTAATTAAATTTGTAGAAACCCTTCTCCTTTTACGTAACATAGTAATTACAAATTTGTCTTTACTATATCATGGATCAGTATGTATATCTGAAAGACAAAAGAAAGACAGTACGACTGTAAATTCTGAATAATATTCATTCTTTCTTATATTTTATTATCATATCAATAAAAATTAAAATCTGGCAGTCTGATTTCGTATAAATAGGGCATTTTTGAAATTTATTGCTATTGATGTTATATAATCATAAATTTTGCACTATATATTAGGGCACAGAAGGTGGTTTCATAGTGATCTTATTGGCATAGATCATTCAAAAAAATCTGATTTGTGCACTTGCGACTAATACCCTAGTCATGGGGACAAATTTTTTGTTAAATGAGTTCTACTTGAACAGTTCTGATTAGATGAAATTATTATACATTCCTATAGAATCAAAATAACAAAAAAATAATCACTTTTAGATAATTTGGTTGTCAAGGTATCTTCGCTCAAGGTTCAGAAAAAATGTCACAACTTTCGTGTTTAATTACACATTGATCTACTTATTGCATAAATCGTATTCTTGATATTTTTGTAAATTACTAACCATAAATGTATCAAAAAAGTAACTCTAACACTGGACACGTAGCTATAACACTGACGTAATTTACTTGAAATAGAATATTATACTGTAGAATTTTCCATAGCATATCACACAATAGAAAAGATTTTTTTTATTTGAAAATATAATTTTTTTTATTTTTTTATCTAATATAGCCAGGCTTGTGATTGTGCAATTAAATCTGCCCTTTCAATTGCATCTTCTATTGCTATACTGCATGTTAGGTAAGCCGTACTGGTCTTTCTTTCTAGCAAAATAGTCTGTTTGACAAAATTACGACAAACCAAATCTGCTAATGCTA